ATATATATATATATATATATATATATATATATATATATATATATACACGCGTATGCGACGATGCGAAGTGCGTTTTCACGAGAGTGTACTCACCGATCGGACAAAAATCGTCTCTTGATATTCGTCGTCTCGCAAATTCTGTGTTGCATAAAATCGATAAGTTTTTAAAGATGAAAAGAATTGGTAAGCTGACTGTCATCAAAATCCCTTTCGCGAGGATCGATAGATCGACGGAGGAAAGTCAAAGTTTTGTATATAAGCGTCTTTGCTAAACGTGATATCAAAGGACTCGTTTTGCTTGCTTTCTGCGCAAAACGGCGGTCGCGGCCACGAACGTGACTTAGTTAGCTCCTGGTATCCTTGGATCCTCAGGTCCTCATAATCAAAGGATCTTACCGTCCTAGAAGGATCTTCTACTTTTTTAATCGAACGGTTCCGAGCTCGCAGAACGGAAGGATCTTGAATTGGCTGCAGCAAGCCTCGCTCAGAAAACGAGGACGAAGGATGGATCCTAAGATGCGCAAAAAAAGAAAAATAGACTGGAGCCGCGACGCCTTACAGAACAATCGCGATTCGGTCCGAGCGTGTGTTCGAGATTGAAATTTTCACAACAAAACCAAGAAATATGGAAGACAGGAACGACGCCATCTCGCCGAACGTAAATCTTAGCAGGATTCGCAAGCGTAAACTAAATATCGTGGGCGTTGTACGATATCATCATCAAGTACGGGACAATCCGAATATACTAAAGATTAAGGAACAAAGCTCGTAATAGTAATAAGAGAAGGAGACGGGGAAGGAGAGAGACAGAGAAAACAAGGAAAAAAATGACACCGGACAGTTGAGCAGATGTTTAAAAAATTAAAAAAAAAATAAACATATATTATATATATATATTATATATATATATATAAATATTATACAGATCGTAATGAATTATTATGGCGGATATTATTATATTTATGTGAGACCTTTAGCTGGCCTCGCGCTCTCCTAGAACGATACCTCGATTACACCTTCCGGCCGAGGGCGAGGCTACCTGTTACGTTTAACATTTTGTTGTCAAATTGTAAATATATAACGATATACATGGAGGAATGCCAACCCTGTATTCTTTACCTGTCACATCCATCTTTCCACTTGCTCTTTTCCGGTCGGCAACAATTTATTTTTAGATCTCTTTGTTTTTAAACTCTTTGTAATGTTAAAATTTTATTCTAAATATTTAAATATACGATAATATACGATAATATCGATGTTATTCTTTTTCATACTGGAGTCTCCCCTCTTATTTTCATGTTGAATTCAATAATTATGTTGTTAATTAAAAGTTACGTTTCAATGATTCGATTTGATTTGGATGAAATTTCATCGATTCAATTCGATTCGAAAGTAAAAGAAGAGATTCGATAGGACATCAGAAATCTTTGATTCGCACATCTCTATTATATAGCAGTTCATTATTCATTAATCACTTTTTTATTCATTATTTGACCTAATATAAATGTGTCTATCGCATTTTAATGATCAATTTTGTGATAAATGATAATACATGTTCATATAATTAAATAAATTATTTATAAAAAAAATCATCATAATTGCACATAATTTTTATTGTAACTTAAAAACAGGTGTAAACTAAAAAATAGTTTAATATCGATTATGGGATTCTCTTGCCATTACTTGATTCTTAATGATTAATCTATCTTCGCACTAGATCGAGTAACCACAACAATAAATTCGAAAGTATTCTATTAATTTGTAAAAGATAAATTTATAAATTTGGGCATTCTCTCCTCTAAAGAAAGACGATAGAATTGCGACATCTATTCTCCTTCAAGGAAACACGGGCCCTGCATTACCGCAGTTGCTGCAACTTTTGCAGCATGTACCTACTGCGGATGTATTTTAAGCAAGAGCAGAGAAGGGATTCTCTCAGAAGGGATTCGGAAGATTCTGTATCCTTGGAGCAAATATTTTGTTCCTTATCTTTAGGGGTCAGATGTAATATTTGGATAATGGAGCCATCCAATATCTAAAGAGCCAAGGATGAAGAGTTCAGAGTTATCCATACACGGTATAACCGCGGCCAATAAAGCTGACCAGTATTCAAATAGAGAATAATATATTTATGCTCATCTCGCACACCAAGAGCGAACCTGTGTGTCATCCGTGTGAAAATTGTTCATGATCGACGTTGCCTGTCGCGTAGCGACCGACTGGCCGTCTGAATCGCACTCAGCCTGCGAGTTGAGTATAAATATACTGCACTTAGATCGCGCGGGCAGCATTAAAGGCCGCGGTTGTATGAGAAGTAATAATAGATGAGTGACGGAAACGTTGCTAGTGCTGTGGAAAGGGCAGTTTTTAGCTTAAACAAGTCATACTAATCGAAACCTAAACACAATTTGACGTTCATTTCGTCTAATTTTATTCTAATTTTGTGTAACGCTTTTGTCTATAATGTAAATTATTTTACATATAAAAATATCTTCTAATTCTCACAAATTGTTGCAGATATACGAAAAATTGAGCTCTCTATTCATCCTTCTTTCAAATTTTAATTAATCTGTTTGTGAAGTATTTTGAAATCGTTATTATTTTCACGTTAAATCTCTTCCAATCAATTTAAAATATAGACATCGTGAAATTTTCTCTTAAGAATTCCGCGATTTCGAGAGAAACGTTTGGAAAGAAAATAAGATATTAAAACGCCTAGAAATTATCTTACGCTCGGAAATTTGACGGGCCTTAATTAGTTGAGACGCTGGAATGCAATCGTGAAATGTAATCCTTTCATGGCGTGTAACAATTCGTGTAACCACATTCAATTTTGCGCCTTATGTAATTAATATTGCTGGTGCGTTCCTATGTGCACGTCCGCGGCGCAAAATTCGAATTAATTCGTAACGATATTTTATTAAACAAAATAGGTAACCTGATAGGATATATACGTTCGTTAATATGCAGAAACGCTTGTATATTTAATAAATGCAGTGCCGGTCATGTAACATTCACGAGACGATATTTAAAATAAAATTGGTTATCACATCCTCTTTAATTAAATATGGTGCAAGAAGATTTAATATGCGTCCATGCTTTATGAAATCCCCAAATTCTCAAATTTTTTTTGAAGAAAGTTATCGCAATTAACGCTGAACAATAACGACGGTAAAGGGACATTACAAATTTTGCACCCATTGCACTCTTCTCATTCTCGATGGGAATCGATTGTTGAAAATTACTGCAATTAAAAGTGGTGTACAAATATGTGCTTTTAGGCTTTTTACTTTGTAATACATGTGACAAGATAAGGTAAATAAGAAAATATTTGTTTAACGTTTTTGATCCTAGATTGAAAATCCTTCTTGTACGTGTAATCCTCAACTTAGAGAATTCCTTCGAATTCTTGCATTCCGGAATTAAAGATTTTTCGGCCTTTCTCCGGCTCCACGGAAGAATCTCCCATATCTGAAGAGGACATCGCTGGCAGAGTTGATGATGCGCGGACAAGCGTGCTCGGCTTATCTACGAGCACCCGTTGTATTAATCTGGTTAGCAGATCGCCTTAAACGTCGCTCGGGGCTGACTTTTACGAGGTGCGCATTCGTTATCCATTAGGGTAAGTATAGCACGTGTGGTCCCGTCCCCGTGCTGCATGCGAAACCAATATTCATGTGCACGAGCTATTCAACGTGTGTACCCGACCGTAATTGAATTATCATCGTGTGTCTCCGTAAGAGACAGCCAGCTCGCCATAATGAGCGCGCCGCGCGTCACAAGTTGTCGCGACGAGCCGGATTAATATTGAGCGGATTAAAGTGCTGATCATCCCGGCGCGTTTTATCAACTTTACTCACTACAATTTTGCGTGTATCTGTTATATTAGAATTATATTTGAACTTCTCTGCGCTACCGATTTTGTTCGTGTTCAACAACTTTGAGGGCTTGAATTCCCTCATTATATTTATGCACGAGCTATTCATCTTCTTGTTCCGTCGGACGGGTAATTTGGATTGTCTCATCTTTCGTTTTCATTGCAAAGATCATTAATAATCAGGGACTCGTGAAATTCCGTGTATAAAAATATTTTATTCTGGATGACAAATTGCTTCGACGCGCCTCAACGTTGAATTTTTCACGCTTGCAAATGTCACGCAGTAGTCTTTGAAATATGTATAAACTTGAAAACCGGATTACTGGAACAAACTGCAAAATAATTTCAACACAATCGCGCGAAATAATTCTTGTTATCGGTAAGCTACGGAGGACTTAGACTCGTGGTATGGCCTCATTTGCATCCTTATTGGGACACGTTGCGTTCCTTGGGTGTCACGTGGGTGTTAATTAGCGGTCGGGGGGAGGGCTTTCATTAGGGGTCTCGCGATAACTCGGCAGTAGGAAACGAACGCGACGAAGCAGCTACGAACAGCAACCATGAAGAAGAGCGCGAGGAATAGAAAGAGGAAGGCAAAGAGAGAAGGAGGTATATAGGTGGTAGGGGCATTCCTGACTGGCAGCCTACCACCGACGTCTCGTTTACCATAATACAAGGCCTTCGCTGAGGGCAGCTCGTCGCCGCCGACCCTGCTGCAAACGGTAGCGATACATCAGAGGACCGTGAAAAGTACGTCACAGCCCTACCAATTCCAGGACTTCACGCATCCGTGTCCTTTTGAGAATGTTCTGCCAAGAGCGACACTCTATTAAAATATTTCACCTCTACCGGTAGAATAGGTCTTGAAGAAGGAAGCACTTTTTCAAAGTCTTCATGAGAAGGTCTTTCATACCTTC